TTAACAACAGAAGTTCATTCTCTCACACTTTAGGAGGGTAGAAGTCTGAATTCACAGCACAGTCTCTGGGGAAAGGTCCTTGTCGCCTTTCAGTGTCTGTAGGCCCAACATTCCTTGGAGATCGCCATGTGTCTTGTCATCAGCTATTCCCTAGATCTATGAGTGTCACAGTGCAGGGACCCCAAGTCCAAAGGACATACACCAGTCTTGACTTTTCTTTCTTAGTGGTAGTGGTGCCCTCTTTTTCTGTTCACATCTTTCTTCTTTTATCTCTTATAAAATGAAAAGTATTGCATGCCACACCTTTGGGACTCTCCCATACATCAGATCAGAGTCATGGTGGGATAAAAGGTGGTATATATCTCATTCTTAGACTTCTGGTATGGCACTGTAGGATCAGCACTGGACTGCAAACCACAAGGTCAGCAGTTCAAACCCACCAGCTGCTCCTCAGAAACCCTATACAGGGTCACTATGAGGACAGCATTAACAACAACATCCCATCCTTAATCCTCTTATTGGTTTATTGCATCAGATCACATCATGGAGGATCATCACATAACTGCCAAGCCACTGAGAGTCATGGTCCAGTCAAGGTAACAAATATTTTGGGGGGACACACTTCAATCCATGATACAAACAAACAAAAAATTCTAGTCATGGACAACTCTGATGTGTGCCTTACAAAAGAGAAGAGAAGAAATGGAGAACCAAGGTAGAGAAAAGAAGTGTTCAACGTAGTAAAAAGAGTAGACGTCAGTCTTCTGGACACCAAGTGAGGAAGATGCATTATCAAATGCTGACTAGAGACCAAGGAGAATGAGGACAGAGACAAAGTCAGGGGGCTGGTCACTGAGAGATGAAGTTTGGCCATCTTGGCCTCTAAGGAGCACTCTGGCTGCACTTCCTCCAAAACGGATCTATTGGTTCTTTTGGCAGTCCATGGCACTTTCAGTATTCTCCTCCAACACCACAACTCAAAGGCATCAATTCTTCTACCGTCTTCGTTATTCACTGTCCATCTTTCGCGTGCATATGAGGTTATTGAAAATACGATGGCGTGGGTCAGGCACACCTTAGTCTTCAAGCTGACATCTTGGCTCTTCAACACTGTAAAAAGGTCTTGTGCAGCAGATTTGCCTAATGCAATACATTGTTTGATTTCTTGACTGCTGCTTCCGTCAGTGTTAATAGTTGATCCAAGAAGAATGAAGTCCTTGACAACTTCAGTCTTTTCTCCATTGTTTATTGGTCCAGTGGTGAGGATTTTTGTTTTCTTTGCACTGAGACGTACTCCATACCGAAGGCTGTGCTCTTTGATCTTCATCAGTAAAGGTTTTAAGTCCTCTTCACTTTCAGCAAGCAAGGTTGTA